CGCTCCCAGCCACACACATTCCTTTCACAGGACCTCCCCTCTCCCCCAATCACTCAGAAGCAGCCCCCCCCTCCTCCTCCTCCTCCCCACTGCTCCTCTCACTCCTGCCCAGCCTCTGTTGCACTGACCCGTGGGCTCTGCTACCTGGCTGTCCCATGCAGGGGGCTATAGCACCCCCCAGCACCATCAACCACCTGCAGGGGCACAGTATGGCACTCCTGCCCCCCCCCCCACCCCGGTGTGGCGCTATGTGGCACTCCCAGCTAGCGCGGCCCTGCCCCCCCAGCCCCACTGGAGGAGGGGCCCCATTCTCGGCTCTCAGGAAATCAAATGTGAAACCCATGGTTTTAAACTTGGTGCCATTTTTGTCTCCCAGTAGGGAGACAAAAATGGCACCAAGTTTAAAACCATGGCTTTAGCTTCCCTGCCGATTAAGAATCCCAGGGCCCCAAATTGGTAGTGGCCCCTGGGCTTGTGCCCAGCTGGCCTGTCCATTAATCTGCTTTCCTGTGTGATGATGGTGGGGGGCCTGGCCCTCTCCCCAGGATGTCTCGAGCATATTTTGACAACATTTCATTGAAGCAGGACTTTGGCTGCCATGGTTCCCCTGCTTTACCTGTGGCAGATTATGGGATTAGGTCTGTGTTGTGCCAGGGGTGATGGTAGTCTTACGTAGAGTTTAGAGTATGGTTTGTGTGGTTTGGTTTGGATAGGGATGATCCTGCTTCAGGCAGGGGGTTGGATTAGATGACCTCTTGAGGTCTCTTCCAGCCCTACTCCTCTATAACTCTATAAGCATACGGACCCAGATCTGGATTTCAAACACCAACAGTTTCAGGCCTGTAGGGTTTGGGGCATTTGGCTTGACCTATTATGACCAGGACCAGTAACAAAATATGGGTCCAGATCTGAGCTTGGATTCTTAACACCAGGCAGAGAGGGGAGCACATCCAAATGCAGCCCTTCTCTAGCCCACATGAGAATGATGTAGGCGATGCTGACTGTCAACACTGAAAGATTTGGGAGCAATAGTAATCAGGACTTTAGAGAATGAGGACAGGATCATCAGTGCCTCTGCCTGAAGCTCTTATCTTTATCCTACATGCAGCAGGGGGAAGACAGAGGCAGTGGAGGCAGAGAACAAAGACCAGTGACAAGATGAGAAAACCCCTGCTCCTGTTTGTGACAAGGGACAGACCATATAGAACATGCTGTTTACATTTTTCCTTTTTGAACCCCAGGGTCATTGCACAGTAAGTATTATATTATTCTTTTTATGTTATGAATCCCAAGTGACCTGATTGCTTACTCTTATTATTAGTGATGCTGTGTGAATACTATGTGTCAAATTACCAATATGAAACAAAAACTTCATGCCAGGGTCAAAAACATCCTGAAAGATGCCACAGCAAAGGGTAATTGGTGAATTCTGCACTACCTAGAGCCAATTTAATGTTCTGCTTTATAAGGCTGGGAGAAACAATTGGAGAGAGGCAGTCTCCACAGCTGATAGGAAAACAGTAGGATGAGAGAGCCTTTCTTTTTACAATAGAAGGCAGAATAGCAGCTGTATGTGTGTTTCCAAGGCAGAATAGCAGCTGTACATGTGTTTCCAGGGCATGGTTTCTATGTAGTTGAGGTTGGCTGAAAAACTACATCCAGAGCAATATGGCATCTGCTAGCACCCTGTGACTGACAGGGGAAGTGAATGGTAAGAAGCTATAATGTAATAATGAATTAAGGGGCTGAAAGAGTGGTGGGTCACATGGGGCACTGTGGAATCCATGAGTAATTGAAATGAGAATATATGCAGAAAAGATTTAGGAACTCGCTGTGATGTGTTCCTTGTGTGTGGGTAATCCCTTGGGTGGATTTATTTCTGTGGGCTGCCTCAGTGAATTTACTTGAGGTGTTAGATGTCTAAATATAGACAGACACATATTTCATTCAAACTCATATACTTATGTGGGAAAAGGTATTTTTGCTTTTGTTTTTTGTGAGCATATCCACCAATAACAGTGGGAGCTACAAGTTCCTTGTGACCAGTTAGGCTGGATTAAAATGACAGCATGCTTTGTCTTCACTCAGATTTAATAAGGGGTTAGCTATTATTTTTCCCCTTGGTGGTCTTTTTTTCTTGTCTTCCTGATTTCCCAGGATTTGTATTCAACATACACTCTTCAATGGTAGCACAAACTGTGGTGATCTCTAATCTTGGTCCTTGATGTGTATAGGGTTGCTTCTTGTGATGGACTGCTGCGCTGATATTTGGGTCAAATCTATCATGTAATTTCAAGTATTTCAAACCAGACTGTCATTGCCTACTGCAGGAATTAACAAGGAAAAATGTTCATAAATGATGGACCATTCTCTTCTCTAGGATTTCCCGTGCAGCCTATCAACTCCTTCTACCTGGTTGAGAACCCCAAGAAAACAGATTTCAAAATGGTGGTGAAAGGGCTTTATCTGCCTAAATCCCTTTGCCTTTCAAAGAAACAGAAGGTATGGGCACGCATACATCTGGAGCTGTTTTAAAAGGGTAGTGGCTGTTATGTTCTAGTTGTTATGTGTGGACAAGCTGGAAACTAATCCGATGCGCCAACTTTAAGACTTCTGCATCCGGTTTTAAAGTTGGATCTGTTTTGCTACATTTATATCATTTTCAGCTTGTCCGTGCATAATCATTAGAACATAACAACCACTGCAATTTTGAATCCTCTCCAAATGCATGTGTGGTAATATCCTTGTGGTTTGCCTAAACTGCCATGTAGCCTTGAGATACTTAATTGAGTTTTAAGAAAGCTGATTCAGGCACCAACAGTACCAACTCAGCACCAACAACAGTACTTAACAGTACAGGCACCAACTCAGGGCAGCATGAAGCTAATTTATCCTGCTGAGATGCAACTGTCTGGACTGCATTGTAGGCATCATTAAGTTGCTAAATTGCTTCTGAAATCAGACCTAGGTATCTAAATCGCTTAACCTGTAGGGCTGAATGGGCAATGCTCAGATCTTTCTCGCTGATCATTTGAAAATGTGGCTTAATTTCTTTTGTCTTGCACATCACTGAACATGCTATCAACATGCAATAATCTGTTAATGTATTTCTCTGGTTTCTGCTGTGCTGGCTAAAAATATAAAGTACAGTACATGAAGTTCATATAAACTTTACATGTAACCTGTGAAAGTAATGTAACGAGTATTACTATTGATTCCTCCTGACCCCTGAGGTCTATAGGTATATGGGAATATATAAGAAATGTATTGAATATATAGGTATATAGGAAGGTTAGTAGGGGACCATGCAGTGGTAATATATGGTTCCTGAGAGACTTGAGAAAATACTGAGCAACAAAGACTTTGGTAATATGATGCTTTTATAAAAGGTATCATGCTTGGTTAAATTTGGAAAATTTAGTTGTGCCCAGTAAATGCTTTATGGCCAGATTAATGAGTAACCTCCACTTTAATTAGTCAATTTCTACTCTCCCACTGCGTTGCATATTCTTTTTTGTTCCCTCTATAAAAAGTCTTCTCATCTTTACTCAGGCACTTGCAGCTTCAAAATGCCAGTAGCGCTACACGAACTGCTTTTGTTCACGATTGGAATAGTTTATCTAACAGATGGAAACTCAGCACTGCTATCTGTACGAAAAGGTAGGATCACAATTTAAGAGATGGTTTTAACCATTTTAAAGGCAAAAGGTCAGAATCTTACCTGGTACAAGACCATGCATTGCCTCTGAAACAATGATTTCACTTTTTTCATGTAGATCTTTAAACAACAGAAATATCTAGGCAGCAAAAGTGCAAGGACAAGTCTGGATTTTTTTAATCTTTGTGTTCAATTTTCTTTATGCTTCACAAAATCACTATTTGCATTGCTAATTGCCCTAGGCATCTGACAGTCATCATCAGAAGTGTGGGCAGTCATTTTAAGGATTTCCAAGTATTTCCTTTTTAAAATGGTGAATGTAGCCTGTTTTGAGTTACAGGCAGATATAAAATACAGTGCAGTTAATCCACACAACGTCAGACTCAAGCTATTTGTATGGGTTCTCCACTTTGCTTGTAAAAAAAAAAAAAAAAAAAAAAAAAAAAGGAAAGTTTTTTTTGGGGTTCCCCCTTTGCTGTTAAAAAAAAAAAAAAAGGAAAGTTTTTTTTGGGGTTCCCCCTTTGCTGTTAAAAAAAAAAAAAAAGGAAAGTTTTTTTTGGGGTTCCCCCTTTTTTTTTAAAAAAAAAAAAAAAAAAAAAAAAAAAAAGGATAGTATTTTTTGGGCTTGTGAGCAATATATTTGTTGTTTGGAAAGTGTGCATGTGTGTGTCTGTGTATAAGGAATGTATTACTATAGTAGTAATATTAATATAAAATCTTATGGGGGGATTTTGGCAAATCTGATAGCACATCATTCAGTTGTCAGATGCTTACAAAGTTACACTAGTGGAAGGAAAATTTTTAATTTTTTTAATTTGAATTTTTTTCATACTTCTAATGAAGTCAGGTGTCCCTGAAGCATTTTTTGGAAACACTTTCAAACTCTCTTAAGAGTCAGGAGTTTGGTGTCTTCATCTTGTGGGAGCACTGTGCCGCTCAGGCAGCTGCACTGCACTGTGGTGGTGGTTGAGAGACCATTATTTATATGGGGAAATACTGATATCGTACCAAAATGTTTAGGATATTCAACCAAAAAAAGAGAAAAAAATTGTATTTTGAGTTTGAAAATTATTTTTCTTTCAGTTTTCACACTTAAAGCTTAAATTGACTTTGGTTACCTGAGCCAAAACAAAGATACCTTTTATTTCACTGGGTCACTTTCTCCCTTTTTGTCTTTTGCCTTTGGAGTGAGAACTAGAAAAATATTGATAAACAAAAAAACCAAGAAATTCGAAAAGAAGAATGTTTTGTTTTGTATGCGTGTCAAATAAAACCTGGGAAAAATTTCTATAATAAAATTCACATATGGGAAAGGTCATATTTCATCTATAGTTTTGAATGAAATATTTCATTTAGCTGTTGCATCAGCATTCACCTGACATGGCTCCCACTGACTTCAGCTAGGGCAGCCCCCAAGCACTTTTAGAAATCCCCCTTTAAATGTATATTATAGAAACTGTCTGGGATTCCAAAAAACTTTACAGGGATCTCTCACCCACCACTGTATATACTTGGCATATTTTTATTGCTGCTGATTCTTGAAGACTTTCTGGTAGTTTGTCATACAATTCTAGAATGAGAATCAGTAGCGTACCAGTGAAAGATCCCAAACTAAGTAGTCTCCTCTCCAATATGCTGAACATCTCACTTGCTTTCATTAAATAAATATAAATATTATAAATAATTAAATAAATATTTAATGCATTAATGTCACAGGAGGGAAAGTTAAACATGTTTTGGGACTCAATTTTCAAAAATGAGCAACTGAACAAATTATTTGGTCTGGGAAATGCAGTCAAACCACTCTCTTTTCTCTAGATGCAGGTTGCCAGAATTAGATGCTTGGCTTTTAAACAAAAACCACTAAAAGTTCAATATTATTGTTAAAAGTATTTTTCTCTGCCTCACAAGACCACACTGGGTAGCTTTAGCACAGACCTATACAGTAGCAACATTAGGCAAATGCTCAATGCTTTTGAGAAATTTTAAGCTGTTGATTATCGAAACTTACGTAATGTGCCATTGAAACCCAGTTGTCCAAAAAGGAAAGCAAAAACATTTGGCTAAATGATGGATGTTTCCATTACTGTGCAGGAGTTATCCCAAAATTAAAAATAAATGGGGATTTAAAAGTTTTACATATTTTTGTTTGCCTTGCATTATTTGTTCTAGGGGGAAGGTGTAATTATTTGTATTTCTTACGCCTAAAAGAAAAATTCTTGTAGCGGGTAGCCAGCTACTCTTTTCTCACCCTAGTCAAATGTAGGCACAAAACCTTTTTCTCAATAGGAATAAGGGGGGAGATATGTGTGGGGGGGGGCAGGGAGCTGAATAGTTTTAAGGTAAAGTGTTATCAGTTTCTGAAATAAATTATGTAAGAGAATTAACTGCAATAACTAAGGATTAGACTTGACCCTGGAAGTTGCTTCCAATCCTCTGCTTCTAAAAAACAAAACAAAAAAAACAAAAAACAAACAAAAAAAAGGATCATTCAGATCCAGAGTAAGAAGTTAGTAAACTCTTTCTGATTCTGTAGGCTGTATGCAGGTACCCTCAAGGAGATTCCAGTTATTTGTATGATAGGGTGACAGGATGGATCTTTATGGGCATCTTAGCTGATTTATCTTCAAATGTCTGCACGTTGTATAGAATGTGGCACAGAAATGTGGTTTCATTTTTTCTTTCCTTTTCCTTTTGTTTTTTGTTTGTTTCTACCAGACCCTAGGTGTGGGCAGAAACCACATGAGACAAAGCCATGGAGTTACTTCAACCTCCTCACACGCATTGTTGGTGGGAACCAGGTGGAACAAGGCTCCCATCCATGGCAGGTTAGTACAAGAAAATACTGTTTTATCTGATGCCACCTTCAGAGCAAAGGTCCAACTTTTCATAGATGTAACAAAAGCAAAGGCAGGTATCCTATGTGCTTATTGGCACTTTTGATGTTGTATTGTTGAGTCCCATGCTACTTTTATCAAAAGCAGTGAAGCAGATAGAGGAAGAAGAGAGTTCCTAGAAAAATTTTGCTTTGTTAATTACCATGTTTTAAAGACAATGTGGATCTGCGATAAACAGGGCTGGGTGAAGGTGTTGGGAAAATAAAGGAAACATAACTAATTGCTAGAAAGTAACACTTGGGAAACTGTGGTTCTTGGTGGTTGTTCATCTGAGACTGCAGATTTGTTTCACAAAGGCCACTGAAAAGCTGTGAAGGCTCAAGACTTTCAGGAACTAGTGACTGGTGTGAAAGACAGTCAGTAGTTCACAGGTGAAAGATTCCAAACTAATTCATTCCCTCTCCAATGCTGAATATATCAGTAATCTTTCTTTGATTTATATATATACTTTGTAACCATGCACACTTACACAAGTCACATTTTCCATGCAAACTGGGACCCTGAAAGCACTCTACATATGCATGGCTACAGAGCACTTTTAAAGTGGTCAATCATGCAAAAATTAACTCTCCTCAAATGAGGTATTAGATGAAAGTGCTTTGCTTTAGAGTGCCTTAGGGAACTTGTGTTCCCTAGGGTTAATTTTTTCATGCATTGGGCTGGACTGATGCAGCCGAGTCCCACTCCTCCCCCCCGCCCACCCCAGGGCTGTCAGCAGGGAGAGTGAGAAGGGGAGACAACAGGAGGGAGCAGCTCCAAGCTGCTGGCTGGGGTTGCTGCCTGGCCTGAGCGGGGTGGGGGGTTGGGTAGCGTGGAACAAACCCCCTCCTCCCCCCGCCTCTTAGTCCCAGACTGGCTCCCCTCAGTACTCCTTCCATGGTACTAGTGGGGAGGGGGATGTGAGGCAGGAGGCTTTGTTCCGCCTTCCAACTCCAGCTCAGGCTGGGCAGCAAACCCCAGCCAGCAGCTCGGGATTGCTCCCTTTCCCTCTCCCTCTCCCTCTCCCTCTCCCTCTCCCCCCTGCTGACAGTCCTGGAACTGGTGGAGCTAAGGAGAGGGCCCGTGCAGGCAGGCTCAATCCCTCCCAACTCAACAGGAGAATGTCTTTTGGGTAGGGGTGCGTGCTCTATCTCAAGGCACTTATGTAAAGTGCTGTGAGGTAGAATTGGGGTCTGAATGTCTGTCTGCACCCCACGTCACAGAAGGAGAGAAAGTTGAACACACACTGAGGCTCAGTGGGAGCTGTGAGTGAGTATTTCTTAGAACCAATGACAACATGAAAGCCAAGGAAGTGGTTTTGAATTTTTCTAAGCAGTATTAACTTCAAATTTATGAAGGCTTTGAGAATGTGATCAGAGTAGATGTATAGATTTTTACTTGATGCCATTCTTTGTGATACAGGTTTCCTTGAAACGAAGGCAAAGACATTTCTGTGGCGGCACCATTGTTTCTGCTCAGTGGGTGGTCACGGCAGCTCACTGTGTTGTAGACAGGTATGAATGAAGAATTTGTCTACAAGGCTTTATAAGAACAAAAAAGAATATTGCTACCAAAAGTGTTGGTGCAGTGGCATGTGCATGTGAAGTTTGTTTCTAAGAATATTTCTTTTTGGAAAATGCTTCCTGAAAATATCTGTCTAAGAGATCAGAGAACTCCTAATAGTTCCGAAGTAGTTTTCTAAAGTTAAACAAACCTGGGAAATGTTAAAACAAATAACACTGTTCTAGCAGTTTGGGGTAAAATTTATGCCAAATAGTAACAGACTGTAATACTTAAAGCAGCAGAGTGCAGTGCACAAAAGGCTCAATCTGCCCTTCATTGCACATTAAAAATGTAATTACGTAAGTAGGGGTTTTGAAGTCTAGGGCTTTCAAAACAACCACAAAAACCCAGACCTTTCCCAAACTGCAATTTTATTAAAGGAGAGATGTTAAAAACTGAAGTGCCGGGGTTGGGGGAGGGGGTAGGTAGAGGGGGCAGAGGAGGAGAGAGAGATTCTAGGAACCAATAATCTCAAGTGAAAGATTTCAAATGAACTAACCAATTATCTCCAGTGTCTGTTTTTCTATCTATTAAACATGTAAAATTTGTAGCCTATTAACAAGAGGGCATAAAAATAAATACACATTGTTCTCTGGAGATTTAGTTGGTTGCACTCTTCCCTGCAAGTTCAAACTAAGCTAGTGCTTTTTCATGATACCAGGCAGTGCATTGCTGGAGAGATACTCTCTTTAATAATAAGCAGTGATACAACTGGCCTGGTTTCGTGTGGCAATTAAAGACCTCAAAGTAGGGAGAACAGAGAGGCTGGGTCTGAATTAAGTCAATTTCTGTTCCTCAAGGTAAAGCTCTATAGACTAACACTCTCTTTAAGAAATCCTATGGCTTAAGATGCTCATCAGTGTATAATGCAAGTAATTTCTCTTCCCTGAAATAACTTGAATTACTGAGGAAAGGAAAAAATGGAGCAGGGTTCAGTTTTGAATAATAACGGAAAAAATTCTTTTCTAGACATTCATTTATCTACACTTTAAAACAAATTAGGGATTTTCAAAGATGCTCAAAAGCATTAGGGGACAAATTGCTAGTGCTAGACATCTAAACTCCTATAGGCTCTTTATGAAAATGTGAGTCTCATGAGATTAAAATAGATTTCTATTTAGAAGCCAGATGTCCCAAATAAAGAAGCATGCTATTGTCAAATCTATTGTCTAGGTAGGTGTTTTGTATCACAGTACAGCTAATTAACAGAGATCTCGGATTAAAAAATCATTGCTATGCAGAGGGCTAGCACCAGGGTGGCCAACTGTCAGTAAATTTACTGACTGTAATTAAAAAAGAAAAACCAAAACAAAACCAAACCCAAAAAGACCCAAGTGTCCATCAGTAAAGTCTGTAAAAACAAAAACAAAAACAAAACAAGTGTCCATCAGTAAAGTCTGTAAAAACAAAAACAAAAACAAAACAAACAAACAAACAAAAAAAACACAAACCTTTAGCCATCAGTAAAAACACTAAGCAGCCATGGCTTCACTGAAGCTCTGACAGGCACACAGCAGCACTACCTGGTGTCAAAGCATGAGCACATGGACCATTCATTCAGCAATATGAGTAATATTGCTGGGTTTCAGGTAAGCTTCTTTGAGGTCCATACGGGGACAGGGAGGCAAGGATGGGAGGGCTAAGGCCAGGGGTGGGCTGGAAGGGGACAGCATGGTGCAGGGTGTAGTTGGAATTGCCACAATGTGCGAGTGAGTAGAGAAGCCCTGGTGGGGGGGAGGGGACGAGGAGGTGGGGAGAGAGAACAGGGAACCAGACCCACCAGAGATCTAATGTTTAGAGCACAGGACCAAAAATAAGGAATTTCCCATATATGTCGCAAATTCATTCTGTGGTTTAAGTAAATAATTTCATGTCTTTGTACTTTGGTTTCCCCATCCCTGCCACCCCACTGGGGACTGCAAGCCCTAATCAATTAATGTTTAGATATGTGGATGGATGGTGATATATTAAGGTTGTCATTGCTGATGATGTTTAAAACCAGTAACCTAAGAATGTTTTCTCTCACTTTTAAGTATCTCCACTTTTAATATTTCAACATTTCTTAACCATCCTACAGGTATATATTGGATTACCTGAATGTCACTGCAGGAGAGTATGATTTGAGTCTTGAGGAGGAGGAAGAGCAGACTCTGCCTGTTGAGTCCATCATTAAACACCCAAATTTCAATCCTGGAAGACCCATGAATTATGACATTGCCCTTGTGAAGTTGAAGGGTTCCTTCAGATTTAGTAAGGTCATAGTTCTAGGCAATAATTTCCAACGGAAAATGTCAAACCATTCGCGATGCATAGGGGGTGCACATGGGTACACGTGCACTCCCTGAGATTGGCTGTGCACCCCCTGGAAGCGCCAGCCGCGAAAAAAGAAGTGTCAGTGAAAGTGCACTTTCAGTTTTGCTGTTGGCCCAGTGATTGTCCGCTGGGGGACCCCCCTATGCCCCCATCAGTGAATGGCCGCAGGCCCCACCCCCCCGTCGGCGATCTGGTGCCCCCCAGACTTGGGACATACCACTCGCTCATGGTCAAACCCACAGACTGTCTTGTTGGCTAACACTCTTAAGGTTATTGCTTAAGGGGGATAATATTTTATACAGAATTTTAAGGATATTTTTCACAGAAAAAATAAATTGTAGTAAAATATGCAACATAAGAGACCTTTAAATGATGCAACAGTTTGCATTGACTTTGTATTTGGAGATCTAGAGGTAAGTCAGAAAAAAATCAGTTCAGCTGAGTTGACTGCTACTACTACCATGGTATAAACAAGCCCAAGTCCAAATTGAGCATGACTGCTAGGTTACCTGTTGATAGTCATATAATGCTAATGCAGAGCAGTTGGTCTTGGTGTTAAAACCACACTGAGGTGCATAGTGCAATTCACTGCACACTCTTCAGACTCAGGCCTACATCTATGTTTGCTTCACGTTATTGTGGCTTTCTTTGCAGTTGTTAGGATAAGATTTTTTTTCCAAATAAAAACTTAGATTTGGACCTAAAGTGATGATTTGATGAGCTAGCCCCTAGGCCAAATTCTGTGAAACATCAGGCTTATGCCAGTGTACCACAGACAGTTGGGCCGCATCCAGACAAGTGTGGATGTGCAGTACATGGTGCCGCAGACCTGTCTTTGGCACCACACACTGCGCATGCAGGTGTTCTCTGTTCTGCTACCTTGCAATGGGGAGAAATCCCAGATTCAAAAAACCCATTCCAAAAAAAAAAGCAGGGCAGTACACATGGTGGCAATGTGTGCCACCCAAAACTGGAGCCTGGCCATCTGCAGGAGCACCATAGCTGCAGCTCCCCAAGGCTCCCATAATCCCAAGTAAGGCTTCTGGGGGCAGTACAGTTGTTGGCACCAGCCTCCCCTATCTGGGGTAACCTGCCATGCACCAGAGGGCACATGGCATGGGTGTTCCCTAGGGACACAAGGTGTGCCGCTGCTACTTGTCCCCAGGGAAACAAACGTCTGCATGTGTATGGATGCGGCCCTGGATTCAAGAATAACACCGTAACGGCTGTCACACAAGCCCATAGTGGTCTATAGTGAAGGACCATATAAAAAGGAAAGCAAAACTAAAGTTGTTTTTTCATGTTTACCAAGAAGTTCCATATGTGTATTCATGTTAGGTCCATCGGTTGTGCCAGCATGCCTTCCTGATCCAGATGAGAAGTTTGATCCAGGCTACATTTGCACCACTTGTGGTTGGGGCCGTCTAAGAGAGAGTAAGCCACTGGAGTTCCTCTTTGAAATGCCTAAGTACCACCCCCCCCATCTGTCTCTGACCCACTGTCTCCCATTCCCTTAGATCCTCACTGCCATGCATTTGCATTTTCACAGACCTGAATTTTTTGCACTGGCTTCTGTTCTACCCAGGACAGCACAAGCAACACCAGCAGACTCTCCCTATGCCTGAAGAACAGTGTTTGTGCTGAAAGCTTGCAAAGAACAATTTTCCAACTATTAGTTGGTCTAATAAAAGATATCACATCTATCCAAAGAAATTTTTGTGCTAAAGTACTAATATTTGGATCTATGAGCTCCTTTATTTTTCTATTGAAATGTACGATAGTTCGTGCAGCATGCCTACATGTACACAGCAGACAGATGGTGTAAATGCTACAGGAGGGAACTCTTTTAACTGGGATTGTAATTCACAGCAGTAGCCTTTTTTTTTAATTTGCTCAGTTTTACTTTGGTTCAGTTTATATCTGAAACCTAAAACGAACTGTAGACGGCTCAAAACTCTAGGCAACTTACGCATGGAGGTCATAGATGGGCCAGGAAGAAACTGTCTATAAATGAGCATTGTAATCTTAAAACGGGGCTTAAGTGGTTCCTTGGCTTTGTGCTAGCCCTTTCCACATAGATGAATCTCTTCCCAACTGCCAAAGTTTTACCAAAAAAAGCAGTGTAACTTCAAGTCCTATATATAATAGATCCAAGTGTTTTGTTTGAACATTTAACCTTTAGTTTCTGTTCAGCTGCTTGGAAAATGATATAGATTGCTATCTTGTCTTTAAATGTGAACCGAAGCAAATTCAATAAATAACAGTTTGGTCATAAATTACCGCAAGTTTTGTTTGGCTGCATTCCCCTCAAAAACAGATGAGACACCAAATTATGCCTTTTTAAGAAGGTGAAAATTTGTTCCTTGGCTTCCTCCTTGGTCAAGTTGGAAAGTAGTGCCAAGCACTTTCCCCTCTACATGAGCTCAGCTGTGCTGGCTGTCGAGGGTCCACATGCCTGAGAGGGTATGTGACAAAACGCTTAGTGGGACACCTATACATGTGCAGTGAGGCTATTCTGACCTGCTGTAATTACAGCATGTTGGAGCAGACTCAATTAATCAAGTCTGCTGGACCGTGGTATTTACTGCACTGTAGCAGATTCCAGCCTCACATGTATTAGAGTCCCTGGGCTGAAAAATGGCGGCAGGGGTGCTTTAACTAAAGCTCGTTCGAGCTTTAGTTAAAGCACCCCCACTGCCATTTTTTCAATGCAGGGATGCTGATACATGAGATGCTCTGGGCTCTTTAATTAGAGAGACTTTTGGAGCAGCTCTAATTAAAGTGCCCCCCTCTGCCCCACTCCTGGAGCATGTATATAAATCTCCTGCAGTTCTTATTGGGAACACTTTGGGGAAGGGCTCAGTACGAGCAGGCTTTGATGAAAACAATTATTGTAGCTTTATAAACAGGGCATCTAGATGCCCTTTTCACCCCAGGGAGAGATCGTGGTTTGAACCTGGCAATAGGGCCAAGAGACAACTTTGGTTCTCCATGACTTTGTTTAATTGTATTGGGTGGCTAACTGGGGCTGAGGAGAAAGGGGAGTCCCAGGGAGGATAGGGAGAATATAGAAAAGGTCCTACGACAGACAGAAAAGTCCCAGGACAGACCAAGTGGAGTCTGAGGAAGAACAGAGGGAATGGAACAGCACCATGGAACAGCTCAAAACTGTTTCGAGCAGAGTGTGCTGTGCTGTTTGGGACATTGGTACTCGGATAGCCTTTCTCTTTAAAAGAAGAAAATCTGGGAGCTAACCAGAAAGAAGGAGCTCTCAGAGGTGGAGGTGCTACAGATCACCAAGGAAGCTAGGGTCTCAGAGCTAGAGGCTTACCCCTTGTGAAGCCATGGGAGGGAGAAAGACAGACGAAATACGGCTGCTTCCTGGGGAGTCCTGAGGAAGAGTTTCCCTGTAAAAGTGGAGTTGATTCCATGCAGGGTGGTTGATTTCCCCCCAACCCACTTGTGGTAAATAGGAAGGGGGTACCTTATTTCCCTTACTCTGCCATGTGTGGCCATATTGGGCAGCTGATCTTGCTGAAAGGTCTCCAATTACTATCCAAAACACCTATAAATTCATATTTTTAAAGCTAAACTGTTCTTCAGACACATAGCTATGAGGCCGCAGGGTACTTATTTCATGCCATATCATTTATGAGCTGATCTAGAAATTTGAAAAGGGGGGTGCAGATGGTGAGCTGCGTCATCACATGGAAAACACCACCTGTTTTTCTCCAGTTAAAAATAAACGAGAAGCTTTACTAATATATCAGGGGCCTGGGGCTGTATTATTCTGTTTAAGAAGGAAGTGAAAACAAATATAACTTCATTGGAATGAGTTAAAGACAATCCTCAGGGCTGTGAAATAGCTCCATTACCAGTAGGATACAACAGACAGTAGAATTACAGAACAAAGGATAGCTTGACTGGTTGAACAGCAAGCCTATCAAAAAGAGGAAAGGGTCGTTAACACATCTGGAATGCAGAGTTTACAAGGGTTCAAGTAGATTATAATGAGCCGTGAGGGAGACAATTGACTTCCTCAGCACTGCCTGACTATAAATGCTTTTGCCACTGCCAGGCAATTGGTTTTAAAGTTTGGGTGAAGCAGGTATCAAAGTGCAACCCCTCTGGATCTGCCCCTGGTATCATTAATATCTAAAGCAATGTAAAGAGATTTGTGTTCATGTTGTACAGCTGTTGTAGGGATACTATAAAACCCTCAGGGATAACTGTGGTGTTTCTATGTAAATGTAGGTTTGTAATAAATATTCTGAACAACACATGAAAAACTTATGAGTTTTTTATTTTATAGTTGCAATCTGGTCCAATTCACAGATTTTTTTTTTTTTTTTTTTGTCTTTTGATGGGAGGAAGTTGCTTAAATGTAGTTCCATTTCTTTTTTGGGCGTGGTCTGATTTTTGCTTTAAGATGCTGGATTTTGCATGTTTTTTTTTTAAAACTGCATTTTAATAGGGCCTCAATCCTCCAAGTGCATCTGAATGGGCAGACCTAGTCCCTGTAAAGATGTCATTGGTGGCTATGGGCCTATACTACAAAGCAAGACATCTGAAATTTTATGCAACTAAAGGTTGGCTATTCAAAGAGTTATTTTTCAAAGCAAGTTTCTGGGCATTTTAATGGTCTATAATAACATTGAAAATATTAGCAGAAATAAAATTATTTTTTTTACAGCACTAATGGTAAGTTTTAAGTTCACCTTCTAGTCTGTCTAGCAACTTAATGCTAACTTGTTTTTTCTTTACTTTCTCTTTTTCAGATGGAAACCTTCCTCAAGTTTTGCATGAAGTGAATTTGCCGATCCTGAATTACAAGGAATGTTCTAGAATATTATTAACTTTGAGAAAACCAATCCAAGGTGACACTTTGATGTGTGCTGGATTTCCAGATGGAGGAAAGGATGCATGCCAGGTTGGCTGAACAGAGAAACCTACAGATATGCCAATGTCTTGCTGTAGCTGAAGTTTACACGTGTGTGGACAGATGTCCTGCATTATACAACTACTGAGAGTGGTTTTCCTTTTCATAATTTAATTCTCGAAGTATGACCACATAGTAGAACCTGCTTATACCTTTTCTTCATTTTATTCTCATGTCTGTTTTATTCACACAGGAGTTAATTTCATGTGCTTTCCTGTAAGATGGGTTTCTTTTATTGTAGGGTGATTCTGGGGGTCCTCTTTTGTGCCGGCGTAAGCATGGTGCCTGGACTCTGGCTGGTGTGACTTCCTGGGGCATGGGCTGTGCTCGTGGTTGGATTAATAACTTGCGGAAAAACTATGACCAGAGAGGATCACCAGGTGTTTTCACAGATCTCAGGAAAGTGCTCTCCTGGATTCATGGAAAGATCAACGCTGGTAATAATAAAAAAGAAAAACTAATTAAAAAAACTTACATCATATAATAAATTTGCTGCCTTATGATGTGAAGGCAGTGACCTTTTAGAGTGTTCTTCATAGCTCCATTTTTTTCTAGTTTGGTTCATAGAAGTAAGTTTTTGTGATGAGGCTTTCACTAAGCTGGTAACTAGGCTGCACTGGTATGTAGCAGCACTCAGGTTGTTGAGGCTTCATGGGAACAGGAAGGCTAAACATTTTGGGTGCTTGCACACTTGAGTAGGGTTTAATTCCCCAAAATTGAAACAGTAGATTTTTAATTTATGGGTTTTTAATTGTGACCCATGGTTTCGATTTAGGGGATTCCATCAGTATGATGGACCGGTGATGGCCCACTGTCAGCTCTGCCTGGGGGGGGGGGGGGGGGGGGGGGGGGGGCAAAACCTTTTCCCCCC